ATTTCTATGGCTTATGGGGAAAATTGTCATGGTTTCACACTATGAGATAAGAAAGAACCCAGAGTTTTAGCTACCTTTAACCTTACCTTACTGCTCCCAGAACAAAAAGGGATAATGGTCTGGACACACCTGAAACCCATTCACTTCACAATATGGTCTGAGTTATGGAGGGTTTTTAATGTGAAATCTACACATATCTATATATATTCTATATCTCCTCTAAAATTATCTTCAATTTTTTCTTGAAAATTCACACACACACATATATATATAAGGGTTCAGTCCCTTGGCCTGGCAGGTGATCAAAGTCTTAGTGTCTGGAATGGATGGGCAGGTCCCAGCTGACCTCTGGGCTCTGGGCAGCACCTGGGAATCTAGGCCCCTGCGAGGCCCCCTCTGCCTGAGTCACAGCACCCGAGTCCCCCGTGGAGATGTGGTGAGTGTAACCAGATGCCCTGGGACACAAGTAGCCCGACCAGCCTCTGTGGTCCCGATGGCTGCAGGCCCGGCTCACTGGGAAGAGGCCATGCAGGTGTGGAGCAGGCTCCTCACAGGCGCCTGTTACCTGAGCGCAGGGACTTCCCTGGCAGGCAAGCCTTTGTGTTCCATGGGAGAGGAGCAGGGGGAGTGAGGGTGAGCTTGGTGGACAACCAGCATTCTCACCGCACCTCCATCCCCATCACCCCACCCTCAGGTAGCTAGCAAGAGGGGGCCCATTACATCACCAATGCTCACCATGTTCTGTGCTGCCCCCTAGTGGTTAGCACATGTCATAGCGAGTGGTCAAATTCCCAGTCTCCCATTTGAGCTCCCAGTCTCCCTGTTGAACTCCTAGTATCTTGGTCTAATGACTCGAGGGGACAATTTGTATATTAGGCTTTTATTATATAGAATATTTTTTAAGAAAGAGTCCTTTATTCCTTTAGCTTTTGACTCAAAAGAGCCAGTAGGTATAAAAAATTTAAACTAGGATGATAGACTCTACATGGTATTCATTATATTATTTTGTCCAAATGTCATCTTAACTCTATGTAGTTATTTCATTTATTAAGTTAAGCACTTTGTTTTTGTTTTCATTTGAGAGTAGGGTGAGCTGACTTTTAATAATACCCACTAAAATGCAGTTAATGAGAAGCTTTGTTCATTATTTTTTTTCTGTAGATATTCTAGTACAGCTGAAACACTTATAACAAGATTACAAAAATCCCACTGGTAATTAGAAAAGAGAGTTGCTTTTTGGAGTTCAGTGGAGATGACGATTCCTTTCACCCTTGGAATCTGTATGGTCAGTATTTTCAAATTATCTAAGAAAAGTCAGAGAGTAGGTCATTTGGAAGAAACTCAAATGGATAAAAGCCAGGAAAAGAGGGGAAAACAGCACTGAAGAAAGTTTATAGCATCAAACTCAGAAGACTGCCTTCAATTAATCTTCACACTTTCTTTAAATGCAGTTAGGTGTTTATGTGTATTTTGACATAAAGTTGTAGATATATTTAGAACTGCTACATTTTTCATGGCCTAAAGGAGTTTCTATTCATTTGCCATGCTCCTGCTGCCGAGCAGAACTATTGCATGCTGGGGCTTAATATCCTGCCTACAACCGTAGACTGGAAATGTTGACAAGGAAAACATCAGGTGTTTATTCTGCTCCTTCCAAATGCTGCTAAATTGGGATTGTATGTAGAGTTGGGTGACTTGAAGTTTTAGAGGTGCAGTCAGAGAGTGTTTCTCATCTGCCACCATTGCCAGAATTGGGCTAGTCCCAGTTTAAACATATACAACACAGGAAGGCAGGACATTTAAGGAGTCAAGGGCATTTCAAGGCTAGGAAACCCAATTTCAGTAAGACATAACAGGCACTATGTATATATATTTTGGTGTGTTATGACCTGGATTTCCATTAAGAGGCAACTGGAGAGTCTTAAAGACTCTTTATAAAATGTTGAAACACTGGAGCCAAAATCAGGGATCATGGTATTCCTGACTTGCATAAGTTTCCTGGAGAAAGTGATGGTTTATGCAGTAGGACGTGAACATAACAGTGATGATAATATTTATTGAGTGCTTACTTTGTATCGGGCACTGACTCTACAACAGGGGTGGGCAAACTTTTTGACTCGAGGGATACAATGGATTCTTAAACTGGACCAGAGGGCAGGAACAAAAGCATGGATGGAGTGTTTGTGTGAACTAATATAAATTCAAAGTAAACATCATTACATAAAAGGGTATGGTCTTTTTTTCAATAGTTTTATTCATTTCAAATGGGCCGGATCCGGCCCGTGGGCTGTAGTTTGCCCATGGCTGCTCTACAAGCTTTACATGCACTATCTCACTAATTCTTCACAACAAAATTATAAGGTCAGTACTGTTATTTTCTTTCTGTCAATGGGAAAAACAAGTCCCAGAAAGATGAAGTAACCTTTTCAAGGGCACACAACTAGCCAATAAGGCTTCACCTTCTTAAATAATCCTTATATAATAAAAGAGAAACATGTAAATTGACCATCCCTCCACTACACTCAGCAGCCGGTCAGAAGTGACTATGCAAATTAACCCAACAAAGATGGTGGGTTAATTTGCATACACAGGCACCAGGCACAGAGCAGAGCAGAAGAGCTGAAGGCTTGGGGGGAACATGGCTCCCTCGGTTGCTCCCCGCAAGCAGCCATTGGAGAGCAGAGTGGGAGTGCCACTGGCCTGGGGAGATGTGGCTCCCTAAGTCACTCCCAGTGGAAGTGGAAGCGCAGAGTGCAGAGAGCACTAGGAATGCTGGGAATCGTAGTTCTGGTGGCAGACAGATCTCCTAGACACTAGAGCCACCGTGGGCAAACTATGGCCGGCGGGCTGGATCTGGCCCGTTCGGCTGTTCTATCCAGCCCACGGAGCTGAAAGAGTGGAGGGTTCTCTTGCTCTCCCCTCCGCTCCTTCATCAGCAGCAGTGTTAACATGTATTAGTTCACACACACACTCCATCCATGCTTTTGTTCCGGCCCTCCGATAGAAACTCCCAGATTGGAGAGGGTGCAGGTCAGGCTGAGGAACCCCCACATCCCCCAGTGCACGAATGGTCAGCACCGGGCCTCTTATCTTTAATATATAAAAGCTAAGTGACCATCCAACTGGCCAGTACATATCACACACACTGACCACCAGGGGACAGATGCTCAAAGCAGGACCTGCCAGGTGATGCATCCAGAACCAGAGAGGAGGGAATCTGATTCCTTTCAATGAGCATGAATCCCTGCACCTGGCCACTAGTATAATAGAACTGCTTATAAAAGAGAGCTGTGCAAGCAGAGATTTATTTGGTCCCTACTATTTAAAATTATCTTTTTATTTATTATGGTTATTGTGGGGAGACAATTATATATCCAAAACAGTGCCTGATCAATGGATATGAATATATTTTTATAATCATTAACTACTCTTGCCATTTATACACACACTTATATATATATAAATATCAGAGTGTCTAGGAAAAAATACATATAAATATATATATTATAAATATTGATGCTTCTCATTGAAAACCAAGTGTTTTGGATATAGTAAAATAAGGGCAAATGATATTTTTTCCCATCTTATTATATTCATACATAAGTAATTCTTAGTATAAAAATCATTATTCTTTTCCCTCTAATGTAATAAACATAACCAAAACCTTAATATTACAAGAAAATTTAATTGATTTCATAATTAATTTTCAAAGCAAAAGAGTCATTCATTACTTATTTGAACAATAAATATTCACTGAGCAACAACTTTGCTTTATCTAATATCTATGGATGGTATATATACAGCAATCAACAAAAGAGATCAAACCTCATGAACCTTATATTTGGTGATAAAGACATTATAGTATTAAATTACTAATAGTTTCTATTAGTTCATAGACATTTTATATTTATAAAGTTTATGAATTTATAAAATAAAATGAGAAGTATTAGAAAAAATGAAATGAGACATTGTGACATAAACAAATAGAATTCAAGATAAATAATCCAACTGACACAGAAACAAGTTCCTAACCCCATTAGTACTAGTTTACAACCTCCTGCAAATACGCATACATAGCACAGAAGCCACAAACTCTGCTTTTGGACTTAGTTTTTCTTCTAAGGAACCCTACCTCTTAGTATCTCCCCATTGTCTACCCCCAAACACACAACCCAGTGAATAAACTTATCAATTCTATGTTCAACAACACATCCTCTTTAGATGGCTACTGAAGCATAAAGCACCAAAATGGTGAGTTATAGGGATTAGAAACAGGTGAATAGTACATAAGTATTTCAAATGGTCAACTAGGAACCACAAGACAATATTGTATGATAGGAAAAGTAGGTACTGCAGACTATAAATGCTACTTAGAATGCACATATTAATAATTATATCAAGTTGTTACTGCAAAAAATTTAACACTAGAAAGATTCCAGCATCAATTTGCAGTACATAAATCAAGTTTTGACTGCTTAATGGCTAGGTGATAGGCAAGGATTAATTTGCCTAATCTGGATACCCAGTAGGGTGGCTTCCCAGAGAGACAGTTACTACTTCCCTATCCCTCAAAGAACATGATTTTTTGGCTATTAAAACCCAGAAGATATGGAAACAGCCAACAACCGAGTACTGAAGGCAGACACCCTAGTAGAATGCTGATGAGACAGAACAGAGATAAAGGTCAAGAATCTGCAACAACATACCTCTATAAAAACAAAGCCCAGGTCCTGGACTCTGATCACAGCTAGGGATGGGCTGGAGATGTCTCAGTCTTAAGTGCTGAGGTTGAAGATCAGGGCTGGAAGCTAGAATTCTGCTACATCACAGAACTGTCACCACAGAGTTTGTACCTCAGCTCTAAGCCATCCTAGAGGAAGGGCTGGTTTAACCCGAACCATGTTGCTTATTAGTCCAACAGCTCAAGACTCGGGATCCTCTCAAGTCTTATATCTTGCTCACCAATTCACTGGGCAATTACCATTAAGAAGATTGCTCACCTGCTATTGCTCTGACTCTGTAAGTTTCCCCCTCAATGTCAGGCTGGTCCCAGCTGGTGTGCGTGCTTTCAGGTCATTCACTCTTGATTACTTAACATTAGATGATCTCCGACAAAGTATTAATTCTCTGTGAGCCTCAGTAGCCTCTTCATCAAATAGGGATAATGACAGTAAACACTTCATTGGTTTCTGTGAAGATTAAATGAGATAATCTAGGTCAAGTGTTTGTCACAGTACCTGCACATTGTGAAACACTTAAAAACACTAAGTATTACTAAAACTTAAGATTTAAGTCCAGGGTATTTTTTAGTACAAATAGAGAGATTTTTATCACATCTCAAAAGAAACTAAGAAATATACTGGAGGGTTTTCATTAAGAGGCATAGAGAGCCCTTACTCTATAGTCTGTGGCTCCATTGTTGATGTGATAGGAATTATTTGAAGACTTAGTCAGTCTGGGTTTCAGATCAAAGAGAAGAGTGATTTACCATAGAGAAGCGAGTTAGATTTCAGCTGGGAAATAGACTTCTAATTAGTGTCATCTGTTTGCACCTCTCAAGATGGAACCTAACGGAGGAGTGGTGTGAGAAAAAGAAAACCCAACCAGGGGTGAGCAAACTTTTTGACTCGAGGGCCACAATGGGCTCTTAAACTGGACCGGAAGGCCGGAACAAAAGCATGGATGGAGTGTTTGTGTGAACTAATATAAATTCAAAGTAACCATCATTACATAAAAGGGTACGGTCTTTTTTTTTAACATCCATCCATTCATTCATTCATTCCTCTACGCATTACTTCCTTCAGTTAAGTATTGCAATACCCTGTACTAAGCACCATGATGACATAAAAAGACCAAGCTAATATGAGAAGATTTGGTTTATCAAACTTATCCCCTAATGCCAGTCTCCCAAAAAAGGAGCTAGCCTCTTGAAGATCATGTGGAAGTCAGCTACTGCAAAACTTTTAAGTGATCAATCCTGAGGTATCAGATTCAACCATGTGCAAGTATGTCAAAATTTGGATAAGGCTTTCAAACCAGCACATGTATCCTGTCAGAAAAGAGGCGTTCTCTCAAGGATGGTTGTCAAGTTGGTAGATCAGGACTTAGAGCTGAGACTATGTCATACACATAGTTGGATACCAGTTCTTACTCACGCCAGGGAAGGAATTATTGCTTTCCTAATTAGTTTCTTACAATCTTCCTCGAATCCAATGCTTAGATTTGCTAGATTGCTGTTTGCTGCTCCAAAGTACAATGGGAAAATGGAGAGCATAGATCTCTAGCATTGTGAATGCCTCCAAAAGAATGTTCTTTCGTCAGTCCTACTGTGCACACTTTGACCTAGTTTTCTCAACTCACTTATTACTTGTAAGAAGCTCATTATATAAAAAAGAACAGGGAATCTTAAATATATTGAACTAATTAAATTAAGAGAAAAATATGACATAGAAAAGGTATGTTCCATGTCCAGGGGGAACCATCCATTTCCTCTACTGATAAAGCTCTCTTGGGGATATTGGATATTGATAGAATCCAATCCTATAAATCTGACCACTCCCCTCCCCACAAGTAGAGCCTCTACCATATCCAATTACTTTATCACCTGTACCACTCCTTTTGGGAGGTGAGAGGCAGGTTCTATATCTCCATGGGATTAACTGGCCTTATATCTACATCTCTCACCACATGAGGCCCCAAGGGCCAGTTTTAGTGGGATGATAGAAAGTCTATTTTAGCCTTACAGACAAAGTATCTCTCTTTTTTTTAAATTCAGACATGGATTTAAATCAATTGATTTTGGAAAGATTAAATTCATTCTTGCAATGGCAGTGTACTCATTTATCCATGGCCATAATACCTAACTCATGGATTTTGTGAGGATTAACTGAGATAACATGCCTGACGTATAATAGGTAATCATAATTTTGCTTCTGTGACATAGGAGATGTAAAGACAAGTCTAGACAAAGGCCCTTGAGAGATTTAGGGATGGGGTTGAGTCTTGATATTAAAAACTTTTAATATTTTTTCTGTTACTTTAAATACAGATAACTCAAAGATTGAAGAGACGGTTCAGAAATGAACCTATACTCTGCACTCCGGCCCGTTAGACACAACCATTGAGAACTAAGGGCTTGAGTACTGCAGCCATATCAAAGGAGGGCATTTAATAAATTACTGTGGAAGCCAAACCTCAGTCCATGCCATGCTCCTCAGGAGGACATTGCTCTCTGTGTGTCATTTAAAATGCAATTTTCTTTGAATGGGCTCAGAGCAGTTCTATGATCAGACATGACTGCTTTACTACAGGCACTGGTTTAATGATTTTATGTCATCACAGTAATGGAAACATGGCATTCAACTGTGACTACAGCTTGTATGAGTCTATTCTTGGAAACCTGTTTCTGTAGAGGGCATGAAAATGTGGAGTTTTGGTTCCTGTTTGTTTCCCAAAAGGCTTAGTCAGTAACTCTCACAATTATCAAATAAGTATGGTGATTTGAAGTCTCAAAGATTGTTCACACACAAAACCCTTCTTTAGAGAAGGAGAGTTGGGCCTGAATAAAATTTTTTCATTAGAGGAAACATCCCTCACAGAGCATGTCAATGCCTGAGTCCTCATTCTTGATGGGGAAGAAGCACACCAGCACTAGAAGCGAAAATAACAAAAATTACACATGCTTTCTCAGTGGAGGACATTGCCTCTGATCTTTCACAAACAAATTTGAAGCTAAGAGTCATAAACTCCCTCAATGTCCTGCCCACACATGTAGACAGTTATCACTGACAATGTTCACATTCTATTTCCTTCTAATCTCAGAACAAGTGATTCTCTCTTGCTTAAGGCCAACTCTTCCATCTGTGTTAACGATTCCAACCCCTCCTTTCTCTTCTAGGATCTTGATCCATCAGACTTTTATCTTTGTTTCTATGTTCTCACCTCCCCACTTGCTACTACTGGACCTCTCAGTCTGTAACATGCTAAAATTTTACACACACACACACACACACACTCACACTCACACACACAACTAGCTCCAGTCGCTGACCCATTTTTCTCCACAACCAAACTACTTAAAATAGTTCACATTTGCCGTCTCCCATTTTTAAAACTCCTGTTTTCTCTCTTGCGTCTATAAATAAGTATGTGATTTTTCCTTGCCTCCTTGTTTCTTTCCAACAATGCTGCGAGCATTTCCTTATCTGTCCTTTTCCCTCTTAAACTCGTGGCCAGAGTCTTCTGCTCTCACAAATCTCCCCAAACTGCTCAGCTAAACTTCATCGATGAGACACTAAGAGTTAACTCAATGGTCAATATCAGTGATTTGTACTTTTGGCTACCTCCTTTCCCCTTTTAAAATCTCTCCTCTCCTTTAATATCAGGCTGCTATTGCCTATTCATTTCCAGTTACCATATTTTCTCCAAGTGCTGTGCCATACACATTGCATTGTTAAAAGAACCTCGAAGGTGGGGAATGTTATAATATAGTACATATTTAAAAACTAAGTGAGCAAAGCCTAAGTAAAGTGTATAAATTTACTCAAGTTACATAGTAAGTAAGAGGTACTGGATAAGAAAGCAGTTTTATCAGACACTAATGTATATTTTCAACTTGTTTCCCTAGCCCTACTTTCAAGGGCACAGCAGGCAAACGGCATACAGGTAGTATATCTGGCCTCCTTGTGATGGAGCCTGTGGCCTGGGCTCCCCTCCAAGGTGTCTGAAATGTCAAACTCAACACCAAGGGTCTGTTTCCTAGTTCTGATGACTTGGTGAGATTTAGGGCCTCTAATTATTGATCTCACTTTAAATTGTTTTGTTTTTCCCCTCTCTGGAATCAGAGTCTCCTTCCTTGCTTATTGATTACTCTAGATAAGTATTTTACAAGTAATTCATAATTTAATTGAATTGTAGCAAAAAACGGAATCTTTCTGTATGATCTTAATTACAAATACTCCCAAGAATTCCCCATCTCCTCATCCTAGCTCATGGTGCCACCTTTATTTTTCCCATCATGTCTCTAACTACATATTCTAACATCTAAGAGCTAACTTATTTTTCTCTACTTGACAACTAAATAGAAGTATTTTCAGAGAATCTGTCTTTTCTCCTAATGTCCTCTTGAACAGCCCAGTTTACCTATAAAGTTTCAGGTAACTAAATTTTTGAAATACCCGTTTACTATCTCACCCCCACATTCAGCGGAGAGGCAAATTCCCTCCATTCAGGCTCCTTAGTGCCACCATTATACAGCAACTACTGTCAAACCCCACACCTAGTGACACCAAGAAGCCCTCCAGGATTTTTCACATGCACTATATAATTATTAGCCAAATTGACATCCATGCCTCTAACCATTTTGTTATATTCTAGTTTTCTTTGGCTGCCAGAGTTTTCACCAGTTTGTTTGTTTTTTTAAATAGTGAATTCATGCTCTTTAATCCCATGAATCTTTCCAATGGATTTTTCTTGCCAATAGGATAGAGTCCAAACTAGCAAAGCTGAAACTTAATAATTGAATCTTTGATGACTGTTCCAGATTTATTCTTCACAGGACTCCATACTAACCACTTTGAACTCCAGCTTAGTTAAGCACATCTGTGTGATGGTTCCATGAGTTTGCTCAAGCTATTGCCTCTCTCTGAAATGTTTTCCCCTGGTCCTTCCTTCCCCTTTTCAGCTCAACATCACTTCCTCAAAACTCTCAGGCTTCTCCAGAGGAAGTAGGCATCCTTTGTACCTTTACAATAAACACCTGTCTTTGGTACTTACTATAATCTGAATTCCATTGATATAATAGCATGCCCGCCTTCCACCCTAAGACTGAAATATTTTAAGACAGGGTTTTTCAACCTCAGTGATATTGACATACTGAATTAGCAATTGTTGTGTGGACTGTCCTGCACATTACAGGATATTGAGCAGTGAACCTGACCCCTAACCACTAGATATTAGGAGCACCCAACCCCCACCAGACATGACAACCAAAAATGTCTCCAGATACTGTCATATGTTCAAGTGGGGTGCAGGGGTAGTCATTTCTGGCTGGGAACCATGTTTTTAAGATGGGAACCATGTTTTTAAGATAGGAACCATGTCTCAAAAGTTCTGTGTTTGAAGCCATTGCCTGCAATCCGGACACATTAGTTGACTGAATAAGTGTAGAACACATAATATTGTTTTAGTT